CCAGATTTTATGAATACAGGAATTTGTTAATTAGCACAAGGACTAATCATTAAAATTCAAAAATAGATAAGTAAACAAGAATGCCATTTATTTGTTCACATTTTAGGGGAAAGTATGCAGCTGTGATCCTTTTGATGAATGTAGGCTTCTGGAGAAAAATGTGAAGAAGAAAAGTATCTGTAAGTTTTGAAATCTTAATGAGCAAAATCCAGGAAATTACCATATAGTCTTTATATTAAAAATAATCATAGTAATTCTTCCTTTAACTTAAAAATAAGTTTAAAACAGCATATGCTTAGCATTTGAATTATACTGTCTTCCTAGTCCACTGTTTTGGTCCTTTTCAAGAAGCCAAAGTTGATTTTTACCGGACAGAAGTTAAAAAGCACACAAACGTCACTCAGTACCAAATTGTTTTAGCTACAGGGCATGGCAAAGCATGAAATAACTGCTTTAGAGCACTTCCTCATGTGGGTGTGTTAGATAACTGTCTGCTCTGATATTAAAATGAAACCCACTATGACCTGACCAAGACTTCGGGGCTCTCAATAGAATTCATGTGCTGATAGGAAAGGCCTACCATAACCAGTAAGCCTAATTAATGACTTTTCTGGCACCCTGTAGCCCTCCTGTGACACGAGCCTTTAGCTTTTCAAAGCCCTACATAGCAGAGTACACTGGTTTTAAGTTTACTTATACACATTTTACAATGTCCTGCAATATTTGGATTGTGACAGCCCCTCCCAAAAGAGGCCAAGATTACTTTTCATACTAAAAATATTTTAAATCTACTGAAGGCTAAGAGTTATAATGCAAAAGAAAACACATACACATTCTAAAAATGAAGCCAACCATAAATATGACTAAATTTTTACTTTCTTTTATTCCTTCTAGAAGGTTAAAAGAAATTTTCATCTTCTCCTAAAAGCCTCTCCATTTTTTGTTTCTCATTAACATAAATATGCTTAACATTAAATTTTTAAATGTCCCATCTGCAAAGAATCTGATTTCTTTACCCACACACATGTGAGAATATATACATGTATTCACATATATGCACATAGATATCCCCACACGTACATGTACACAGAAAAAGAGAATTGTTGATCAAGAGATAATGAAACATTCTTTCGAAAATAACGGTAGAATTTTAGATAGTCCTTACAATGTTAATATAGAAAATGACAGGTGCACGAGACATGCACACTTTTGACATGTGAGTTTTAAAACAAATTCTTGGGTCAAGAGTTTAAAATGGAGAAAATCACATTTGAAACACCATATACTGTGTACCTACATTAACACACGGTTTCAATAGACTCCCCCAAAAGTTTCCCTTTAGATCTTTGGGGGAAAAAAATTCTCTGACAGGACCTGAGTGTACTTAGTATTTGTTCTATTCTTGGTCAAAGCTGTCCTTTCCAGCTTAAAAGACACTTTAGGCAATAGAAGCAAATTAAAAGTCTCCAAATAAATTTTTAAAAAGAAAGGGGAAAAAAAAGACTTTTAGCAGCAAAAGTTCACCACCCTCTTGGAATAATGGATTTTTAATAAACATTTTACTAGGTTTGAACCTTGAGAATATGTTTGGGAATCTGCTCTAGCGTCCCAGGTGGCTTAAGAATATTGCTTTATGGACTTCTTTGTGTTGTCAGAAAGGCCTAATGGAATTAAAAAAAAAAAAAAAAAAGTCCGCCACTTCTATTAAATAAATAATTTATTATGAAAAAGGTGATTGTTATTAGCAAAGATCTCTATAGATCAGCATCCATTTTTTTATCATTCTTCCTGTATATGCTCAAAACATCTGCGTATCTTACTATCTGACTTAATTTTTATCAAATGAATGGCACTTTTACTTTCGGACAAATCCGAATAAAACTCCATTAAGAGTCCATTTCAAATGAACCTTTTTACTCCTTTGAATTTTGAAGAATACTGTTCTGGGAAAACTGTTCAACAATGTCAGCTAGTTGTCAAATGCAACTTTTCCCACCATAAAAAAGAAAAGAAATAATAAAGGAAAAACAAAGCACCTCAAAACTATGTTTGAAATAACAAATGCATTATTTATAGTCCTTGAAATGTTAAATGAATACTTGCAGTTGTTGCATAAGATGGCCTGATACACTTCATAGCTTCCACTTCATAAAAAGATGGCCAGCCCCCACTTCTCCCTCCCCAAGCATAAATAAACAGTAACATACTAAAAAGAAACTGTCCTAGGATAAAAACTGTTTGTTAAGAAAGTTTGCATTCTTACTAATCCCAGTGATATCCCTATAAATGCAAAAGTCCATCTGCAAAATAAAAGTTACAAAACAGAGTACCTTGTTCCTCTCAAAATACACCCCCCAGATGTAATATAGAAGAGTGTGTGATGATAAAAATAATTACTAGATTCTTATCCACCCTGTGATGACCCCCTCACCTTGTAGCCAATGCTATCAAATAAATATGCTGGCAAAAAGTATTCAACCTGCTTCAAGGATTTAAACTGTAAATATGGACTTTAAACTTCATGTAAAACAAAGAACAAGAGTCTCACTTTAGTAATACCCGTACTGGCACTGCAGCTAAAACTCACTGGCACATAACTAACAAAACCCAGTTAGCAATAAATAAGGACAACATGATATATAGACAGACAGATGGAATTGCATAAACAGACAAGAAAAGCAAAGAGACTAACAAACATACGGAGGGGTCTGCTATAAAAGAGTGAAAGATACTGATTTATTTGGTACTTTAGTGAGAAAAATAGGTTTGTTTGCAATTATTTTTAAAGTAATTAAACTGAATCACAAGGGCACACCCTTAAATAAGTAAGAAGAAAATTAGTAGAGGGTAGGCCTCCTATAAATGTTCCCAATTTTAAGCTAGCAACAGCTCTGTCAAACTTAAATCTGGAAATTAAAATTCAAGGAAGAAAGAATAAAAGCATTGGGGGCTAAAGGAGATGATAGGTAAAAGGGGGATTGAGGAAGCAGGATTTTTTTTATGAAAGTTGTCTGCCCTACCTTCTTCCCCAGCGCTGAGTTTCTCTTCTCATAATCGGTGTCTCCCTGGAAGTACAGTGTGAGTGGTAATGACTGCCTGCCTCCCTAATGAGTCCATTTTCCTGCTCTTGATGTTGTGTATATACACACACTGCAACCTACCTTACAAACCACAGAGACGGGAAGAGAGAGAGAGAGCAAGAGAGAGGGAGGGAGGGGGGGCAAAGAGGGAGAGAGAGACAGAGACAGAGTAAGCGAGTGAGAGGGAGAGAGAGAGAAGAGGAGAGAGAAAGAAAAACAGAAAGAAACAGAGAGAGAAAGGCACAGACAAAGCCCTCCTACCAGACAGCAGACAGCCTTCCTTCCCCTATCCAGCAAAATGCAACTCGTCTAATGCAGCAACAGGTTCAGTATTGCCAGACTAACAGAGTGAAAAAGGTATATTCTCTATATCATTACTGCTTGCAAATAAACAGTTTAAGAGCAGCTGGCTCCACCTTCTTTATTTATGCTCCATTATGAGGAATGTATTGTTTCAGTTCTGGCACACAGTACATGTAATTATCATAAATACATTTTTGCATATTAGCAGGAAATAGTGAAATGCATAGCTTATTTGTGCAATCTTTAATTTTTTTTTTTTTTTAATGTGAGAGACTGTCAACAAATCTGCTCTGACAAAAGCCTAGTAATGATTTTAAAGTCAGAGGCAGTCTTAAAGGAGGCTCTGGAAGAAAGACTCCATACAATAGGAAAACTGATCTCAGACAAAACTGATAACTGCAAAGAAGAAATCATTGCTCAGTAAATAAATCAAAACCATATGCAAAATTGCAGACAAAAACAGAATCAAGTTTAATTAAGTAACTAATAGACTAGTACTCTAGAAGAGACAGATTAGTTTCTTATTTGAAGCATCTATCTGTACAAATATCACAATGCAATGTACTCTGTGTGAACAGGTGCAATGCATATAGTAGATAATGTTACAACAACAAAAATAAATCCCATAAGGAGCTTCTATCATAAGCAGGACAAGATTTCAGAGAATATGTGTCTGAAACCATAGCAGAAACCCCTTGTTCTTTTATTAGGAGGGGAAAATAAAATTAATCAATGCTTCTAAATAAATCTTCCTTAAAAGGAAAAACAAAACAAAACTGTTTTTCTTTGTCTGATACCTCTAAGCATTTTTTTCATTTGCTAGAACCAAAATAATGCTGGTATTACACTTTCCACCACACTATATGATCCCTACCCCCTTTCCCCACTCCCAGGTGCCTTTCTCTCCCTTAAGTGATATATTTGCAGCTATGGAATTACAAACAGCAGAAAACAGAACAAGTTACAAGCTCTTCTTGCCCCCCAATTTTTTAAAACTAGACTTTGCTTGTCTACCTAGACAACCACCTTCCTTAAAATATTTCTGTACAGTTTGGCTGTGTGTCAGTTAGGTGGGACTTAGGAACATCACAATAGAGGTTAAATATTCTAAAGAAAATTTACATAAAAATGAAAACTGTGAATGCATCTGACCCATTCAAACCCTGAATCTGGGCACCAATAATTAATTGTATATTAAGTATATTAATTTTAAAATCACCTTTTTTATATGGTTTAGTGTGTTACCATACTTCAAACATTAGAATGTGCTCCTTTACATAAACAAAACTACTGTATTATATGAGCATAAATTCCTTCCCTTAAAAACCAGTTTTCAGTTAATAAAATATAACTTAACTACTTCAATATATAACTTACAGATCAACTATATTTTCACCTGATTCACAAAAATATTTTAGAAAATCAGTTAAATCTTGGGTCATGCTCAGAAAAGAGATCAGTTTTGTTTTAGCTGTTTTAAGAGCAGACAACCTATAGCACAGAAATTAGAAGATGATGTCTAACCACACATTGCATAAACTGTCCAGGGAAAATTCTAGTAGGAAATGAAGAGTCCAGCCCTCTACTCTCAGTATAAACCACTAATTCCAATTCTCAGGTGCTGCAATAGTGCTTTACCCCCCTCAAGGGTGGTTAGCTTAATAAAGAGGGGACATACACAGGGTGTAATAAAAGAAAAGGGATATATTTTTGGTCACATGTCTTAAGAAAAATCTTTCTAAAATACACTTAGTGTGCCTGAGGTACCAGCATGCATCTCACCCCTTACTGCTCAGCCTGGCATGTTCTGTTTTTCTACTATTGCCCTATTGTTTCTCTAAAGCTTTATTCAAATGTTTGAAGAAAAATGTCACTTAAAAAAGCACACAAGCCTCACAGTTTGACAGACTGATTCAAACTGGATATTACAATGTCCTGATTTTTTAAATAAGGTTCTAGGTATTTTTGTTTTGTTTCATTTTGTTTTAACGCAAGGAGAATAAGAAGATATTATTTGAGTTCCACCAGCAGGAGTCAAAGGAATGTAAAGGACCACGAAAGCTATTCACCTTTTCAAAGAACAACTAGCTAGCTGAATTTTAAAAAGAAAAACAAATATTTTGGCTTAGTGGAAATGCACAACACCTCAACGCTTTTTCTATATCTGCACACTTTACTAGATGCCAAGCACAGTAAGTGGCACATTCTTGGTACTTTCTGGAGTTCAAGATATACACTTCTTGCTGGGACAAGAGACCCATGTATTGAAACAATAATCCTGACTATCAGAAACAATAATCCTAATGGACTATCAGACTCTGGTAGTTATAGTTGTTAAATTAAGTGGTTTGTATGTTGATATGCCATGGGGCAATTTCATCCAGTGGAAAAATCCTAGTGGGAGCTGAAGACTGGTTTTAGTCTCAGAATTGCCAAAGTAGTTTGTATAGCCTGTGCAAGCCATTTAACCATCCTCAGTATCCATTTCTTCATATAAAAAAATAATAAAATTAAATTTAAAAGGAAAGAACTGAAGTGGATAACATAATAATTATGATGATGACAGCTAATGCTTAGGTGCTTACTATTTGCCAGGTCCTCTTCAAAGTACTTTTCATTTATTAACTCATTAAATCCTAGTGACCCTATGAGGTAGAGATTATTTTTAGTGGCACTTTCAAGTAAAGAAACAGAGAGGTTAAGTGATTTGCCTAAGGTCACACAGCATTGCGGAACAGGATTTGAACCCAGCCTGTCTGGCTTACAGATCATGTGCTTAATCCCTGCACTCTATTCTCTCCCAGCACCTAATGACAGCTAAGCCCCATCTATCCATAAGATTCTGTGCTTATTAGTCAAACCCAACACACCCTGATGACTTCTCATACCTCGCTTACTAATACAATACAGTGCAAATTTGCTCCTCTAATTTACAGAGTTCTCAATACATTTGGTTTAAGAGTCTAGCAACTTTATTTAAAAGTTCACATACTCCATTCAATCACTTCTGTTTCCAAGTTTCCATAAACATGTGCTTCCATTTAGTTGAACTGAAAAACAGCTATCTAATACTAATGCAAATAATGGTTTAAAGAACTAAATAAATAATAAATAAAATAAAATAAAAAATATCCTGTTTCCCAATAGCCTGAAAAAAAGCATGGAAAAAGCAAGGATTCAATTATAAATGACTTGTAAGAGATGCTGAATAATACCATCATTTGATTTTATATACTTGGTTTTAACTTTGAATTATTTAGAGGTATATTCTGAACACTTTGATACTAATGACTCATTCTGCAAGAAAGAATTTGCCCTTGCTCTGATCTCTGTGCATTAACTAAACATGGATTATGTGCCCATTATGTGCCATTCACAATACTTGGGGGTGAAAAATGAAGATAAAATGTATGATTTAGTTTCTGTTTTTGAAGACTCCACAGGCTGGTGGGAGACAGGCATGTAAACAATACTAATGTAGGGAAATAATCTTGCCACTCCATATTGCGATATGCCATGTAATGCAGTGCCTTAAATTTTGTGCTTCTCCCTTAGAAAGCTAAAAATAAAATCTGGCAAAATAAATATAAATACCTAAATTCAACATGTGGCTTATGAAAGATGTGTGTGTGCATGAGCACATGGTGCAGGGGATGTCCTGAGGTTAGACTGGAGACAAATGCGTAACAGGGGGAGGTACTGAAGCTAGATTAGAGACAACTATGGAGCAGGGGGAAGTACTATGGTTAGACTGGAGACAAATAGTTTTTTCTATAGCAGGGGGTTTATAGATGCATGGAGTACACTTTATCCATTGCCCCCAAGGTGCCTATTAAAGTGTCTCCTACAAATACACTGTACATGAAATTCTTAAATGATTGTGGGAATCAGTGATAGCTATTAACCTAGAGCATAAAATGTCATTAATTTTAAAGTTATGAAGTACTTTGGCAAATGAATTCTTCCAAAAGTACATGAAGCATAAAAAAAAATTTTTTTCATTTGTAAAGAAAAAACATCAACCAATTTCAAAAGCATTTACCTCCCATATATACTTTGGCCAAGTCCTTTTTCAGGCATCATTAATGTTTTTACATCACATGAGGCTAAACAGGAAAAAAATGTTGAAATACTTTAAGATTGTTCATAAGAACATTCCCAAAAGAAAAAGGGGGAATATTAAAAAAAAAAAAAAAAAAAAGTCATGCTGCAATGAAGGACAGAACAGGAGTTTTAGCCCCAGTACATGGGTGGAAGAGCAAAGACTGGGGTTAATGGGTCAAAATGAGTAAGTGCTATATTAAGGATTGACTTTGTCATTGAGGCCACCATCATAAAGTCAATTCTATGTGGCATAATTAGATAGCAATCTTTAATTTGGGTCATCTGATTTAAAACTGTATCCCATTAGTCCCAAGAAAAACTAGAAGAGATTATAGATAAATCATAGCTTACCAATAGTAGGTCAGTAGTATGATCTTTACATGGGAAGATGTGCATTTCAATTCTAGTCAACAAATATTTAAGTTTTAAAAAGCAACAACAAAAACAAAAACATTACATGACAACTACATCACTGGGAGTACCTTTATTATGCCCCTTGCAGTACTATCTATAGTAATCTCTCCTTTAACATGTCTCCCATTGCCATTGGACTGAGAGAACTACCAAAACAGGGGCTCTATGTACTAAGCTAGGACAGACTACTATCTGGAAGAATACCTGAAACATAGTTAAAGCTCAATAGAGTTTTCTTAAATGAATGAATAAAGGAATGAAAGGAATGAATGAAAAAATGAAAAAAAAACCAAAGCAATAATAATACATGGAATTTACAAACCTCAGTTAATTAAAAACTTTAATAAATTTGAGTTCTAAGAATAAAAAAACTTCTAAATAGCATTTAAAATGTTTTAAATTACATATAAAGTATATTCTTACTTAAAGATCTTGTGAAAAACAAAAATGCTTATAAAAGAGCAAAAAGTAATACTCTCCATAACTTTTCTCTATATATGAAAATTTTCATAATAAAATTTTGGGGGAAAAAAGGTATTGCCCTATAGCCAGAAGAATTTTAATTCGCATTATCTCTGAGAAGAAAATTCAGCTTGTCTTCACAGTTCATGTATCCATTATTTCTTTCACTTCTGTTGCTAAGATGTTCAAGTATAAGTTGGAAGTTGGCCCTAAAATTCCTCATAGGAGAGGAACACTCCCCTTTGAAGAAAAATACCTTGGCAAGCTGGTTAGGTGCAGAAAGTGGAACCTGAACAGTTCTTCTTGTGGGTTCAAAGTGTGCTGCATAAGAAATTAGTAACAATTTGAAGGTAAGGGAGCATAGACATGAGAAAGGAGGAGGGAGGAAGGAGAACGACAAGAAAGAAAGGTGAGCACTGAGAAATTCACAATGTCAAGGTGGCCAAAAGATTTTTTTTAAGAGAGTGATGCCTAATATTAACTTCTAAGACATTTACATTTTTGCAATGCAAATCTTCTTCTCTTCATACTTTCTGGAAAGCTTGATATATTGTATGGCTTTGTTTAGCAGTGTAATGAGGAGTACAGGGATGGAAAATGAAGGTATGACATAAATTCACCCATACACAGAAGCTTCTTAATGGGAGAGACAGGAGTTCCAAGGAGTGACCAGTGGCACTGTGAATAGTGGCTAATACATGGTGAATGATGACTAGCAAAAAGCCAAAAGGATCTTTAACACAGAATGACTCAGATATAGATATGAGTCAATAAGCTTTTTCCACAAATATATAAGAGTAGTATGGTCATATAGGAAAAGAAGCATATACATTAATGTCTGAATTGCAATTTTGTTGTAATTTCATTACTGTTACTACCTCCATAAACTGATCTTAAATGCTATGAATATCTTCAGAAACATAGGGGAAGAGAGTACTTTCAAGACACAATAAATTCTGAATTAAAGGATTAAAAAACATAAAAATGTCATTTATAGTATCTCCTTAGCTCTAGAAAAATGTATCAGACATGTATACTAGAACTCTTCCTGCTCCCTGATCAATTCTCTCTCCTAAACAATCTAGGACAGTGCTGGCAACTGTCTTTAAAGTTTCAACACTTACATAATAATTTATTCATATGTACAGGTTATATTCAATACCCAAAGAAAAAGAAACATAAACTACGGAGAGTATTCTATAGGAAAAATAAAAGTCACAGAGAAGATATATAAAGAAGGCATCTTAATTGCTATGGCTGTTATTTTCCAGGTGAGATCCCCGATGTCCTGCTGTGTGATTCTACATGTGAAACCCAGTCTCCATATTCTTTCTATCTACAAAGCTGCTACTATTTGTAAAGATTCATTCTTAAAAAGTTACCACTATTACATGTGTCAAGAACTGTGCTTAGTGCTACATACACTATGTCATTTAATCCTCCCAACAGCCTTGTAAGAAACGTAATATTAATGTTTTCATTTACAGATGAGAATACTGAGGCCCAAAAACTTGTAGCTAATAGGGTGGCACAAGTCAGGCCTAAAATCAATCCAGATGGAATTAGTGAGGGATAAAGAGAGGGACTTGACAAAATCACTCTAAAAAATTTTCTAGAATAATAAACGGGTGAGATTAGGAAGAAATTTTGAAAGAAGATTAATGATGAGACACAGGTTTGAGAGCGTATGGATTCCCTAGATAACTTCAATATGTATTTCACATATATTTAAGAAAAATCATATTAACTGTCTCAAAGTAAAATTTAAAGAAAAGATAACAAAGAAAAACAGCATATAAACAACCTTCTAAAGGACGAAAGAAACATACCATGAACCAGTTTGATTAAAGGGTTGGAAACATTAATAACAATCTGTCCAGGAATATTGAAGCCAGTTATTAATAACAGAGTCAGCATGATAACAGCCTGCTAACTCCTGTGAGGCAACAGGCCACTGGGATGATTCAAAATGGGTAGAAACAGTATCTCTAATTTTTATTTAAGAAAGCTCATTTAGCCTAATAACTTACAGGTTTAAACCACAAACTTTCAGACATATAAGGACATATCAAACTTTTGGAAAAGAACCTACATAAAATCTCAGTCTTTCATTTCTATTAAGAATACAGAAAAAAAAAAGAACAAATACAGAAATATCTCATTATTCAGAGTATATAGATATACAGATAGATCACAATGTATAATGTTGTACAGGATGCTTATGAAATAGAAATTTTGAAATGAATTATATTAAATTCTGTTTTAATAATTATATCAGGTACTTCAAAATTATCAAATTATCAAAAAATTCTATTTCATGTTGAAAATCCGTAAATTTAGACTTATCTCTAAATTAAATAAGCTGTCCTACTCTGTTTCAAACTGATGACATTATGCTACTTAAAATGTAATAATGGGACCTTTTGCAACACAAATAATACTCCCAACATCTGTTAAACCTATGTAGAATATGAACATAAAAGAAGTGTCTCACCAGTTAAGGAAACAGTTTTATTAGTAATCAATAAGAGAAGAACATTGCCCATAATTAAATCTGTATTAATTATGAAAAGGGCTATGAAAGAAATGAATCATCATTATGGAGTTCATTTTAGAAATTTAATGGTCTGGGACTCCAATACACACTTCTTATGATGTCATATCTAGAAATCTGCAATTGAAATAACCTGAAAACCACTCTAAGCTAATATTTTAATAAAATTCATGTGGTTTTTGCCTAAAACAATTAAATTTCACCTAAACTCTCTCCACCAATAAATTCATTAATTCAGTGTGACATTAAATAATCTATGCTTTAGCAGTTTAATCAGATAATAAAATATATTTTACAATAAAATAATAGATATTATGAAATATAGATATTATAAATGAAACAAATTCTGAAGTTTTCCAGGTGCTACATTTTCATTATTACTATTATTTGAAAAGTTAAATTAATAAATATATAGAAATAATAAATCAGAACAGATTTTATAAAGTTGTGGGTGATACACAAACTATTCATAGCTGATAAAGCATGGGCATAGACCAGTAAGAAATGTTACTGTGACTGATCAAAACAGATACTGGCTGTAAATAAATGATACAGTACCAGTGTTTCCTTCCTGAGTAACAACCCTAGTCTTAGGTAGCAAACCAGAATCCATCTTCTAAAACAAGTTAATAAAATTTGAAGATGTAGTTTTACTACTGCTATACTCTAGAGGAATGGATTCTCCAATTTTTTAAAATTCTATATCCCATCATTAAAAATATTTTTGAAGTCTACAAAGATCACTTATCTATCTGTTGGTTCTCAACTCCATTCCCACCCTTTCCATACTCTGCTGTCGTGGAACCTGAAAACCACATGTCCCATATTGCTTTGCCAGAATGAGAAGCACTGGCTAAAGATCACTTTTTTTTTCCTCTTTCTGCTTTTGGCACTAGTAATCTCGGCAATGGTGCTTCCACAGCCCTGCAGCTCAGAGCTCTTGGGATGTAGCTCTTGGGACTGCTGGTGGCAGCAATGGTACTACAGTTGCAGAAGAGCAGCAAAGCTCTAACAGCCCCGGCAAGGACAACAGCATCGGTGGAACTGTGGGCTGCTGGGCTCTTGCCATGGCGGTAGGAGTGCAGGTGCCTAGCTTCCTGCAAAGCAGTGGCAACGGTGATTCCAATAGCTACAGCAGCGTTGTTCCAGCTGCCTCAAGAGCACCGTGGGTACTGGTGTTGGGTAACAAAACTTGCCCTTCCTTTCCACAGATCTTCATTGCTAAGTATCACTGTCACCTTCTTTCCCTCCCACCCGATTTTCCAAAACATTTGTAACCAATTCTTTGGGTTAAGTCCCTCTGTTTTGAGTCACTTCTGTTTTGCTGACTGGACACTGGTTAGTGTTAAGTCTACACCTCAATATATATAATTATTTGCAAGCTATAGACTTAGACTACCATGTTACATACATTACAGAGCATATGAATAGCCTCTTAAAAGGATGAGAAAAGAAGAAATAAATGCTATTTTTAAATAAGTTTTAATTTTGTTGTATTTAGTAGCAATTTTAAAACATTTTTGCCCTCACTAAAAAATAAAATTTTAGACAGACTAATTTGGTTAAATATTTACCGTTCTTTATACCTTGCCTTGGTTTTACACTTTGTGAAATAGTCATTTGAAAATCTGGTACTACATTCAGGTTATTGTGATACCTGCTGTAATGGCTGTCACAATGGGAGAAAAGCCTCACAAAACAGTAGCTCCAAATGGAAGAAGAACATCATTGGCTGCGCTTATTAAATCACAATACTCAATTTGCAATCCCCAACCACCAATTATGTAAAAGATTTTCTTGAGCTTTGTCTAGTAAATTTTCATCTTTCCAGATGTCAGTTGTCCTTATAAACTAAAAGGTATACGTTGTATTTTTTAAAATTTCTTAACAAAATAATGTTAACACCTATTTAAAGGTTTCATTTGAAAGATTTTGAAACAAGTTATAAAATTCTATTCCAAGTTTTAAAAAGTATTCAGACTGTTTTTATCTAGTTTTTCAATTATGCAGAAATCAGAGTTTTACAATTATACTAGTTTGGGCAACAAAAATCACATTATAATGAAAATAACTATAAATATTCATTCTCCTCATACCCTGGGTTCTTCAAAAAGCAGTTACCTTCTCACTCATTATTAGTATCACTACTTTTTTAAAAAAGCGGTCAAGTATGTTTCTTTTTTTCCAAAAACTTATGTTAGAGAGCATAGTATTATCAGCCACCCATCTGACAAAAAAAGCCAGCAAAATTAGAACTCTTGCCATTCTGTAAAAGAAAAATGTGTAACTGCCATAGATTTCATATTGCTTCTCAGTACTCTACCACTGAATAACCAACCAGTGAAACTCCACTTATTACAAAGCATTATAGAACCTCTATTAAAATTTTCTTTTTGACTTTAAGATTTTTATTTGGCAGAAAGAGAGAGAGAGAACAAGCAGGGGGAGCAGCAGGCTGAGGGAGAGGGAGAAGCAGGCTCCCCGCTGAGCAGGGAGCCAGAATCTCTACTAAAATTTTAAGAACCTTCCATATTTGATTCTGTGTTCTACTAGACTGTAAAGCGTTTGTTAAAGAAAATTTAACCACATCAATGACATCCTACAGCACTTGTGTGTACTTTTGACTTTAACTGATTTGCTAAAATAGCTTGCTCATAAATGATGAGCAAATGAAATTCATGGGTAGAAGTAAGTACCTCTCTAATCTTACCCAGAAATCTTTTCCATTCTACCCAAGCCAATGACTCCAATCTCCAAAAACTATGTTAACATAGTTTTTTCAGAATGCATTACTTTACTTAGAGTATGTTGATCCCTAACAGGTATTTCCCCCAGTAACCCTTCTAGTGATTCAGAAAAATGTAGTTCTTTGTAGTAGTGAAATACACCCTAACAAATACCACTGGCTTAAATATTAGAAATAGCACTACTTTAATTAAGTTTCATTTCAGTAAGTCTTGCAAAAAGACTTAGCTTTTAAAATCTACAGCACTGTTTTCTATGCATCTATTAACAGCATTTGCGACAACTGTGATATAATTTGTTGCCCCTTATTTTTTACACATTACTTCAGCCACTTTGGTTCTAGGTAAATCATACACTATGGGCGAGGTTCATCCTTAATGAGAACGAATATAAATTGACATTCCAAATAGACTTCTTGATATTACTTTTGGCTGACTTATTGTCAAATATGATTAAGTCATCATTGTTTTTACTTTGTAATATTGTTCATATGCATTTTAGATACTCTTGTTCGAATATGCTTGACTATAATTCTATCTTTATTCTATTTTTTTCAGTCAGTTATCTATTTTATAAGAGTTAGTTTAGTTAAAACTGGATAGTTTAGGGATGTCTGGGTGGCTCAGTTGGTTGAGTAACGGACTTTGGCTCAGGTCATGATCCTGGAGTCCAAGGACTGAGTCTCACATCTGGTTCCCTGCTCAGCAGGGGGTCTGCTTCTCCCTCTGACCCTCCCCCCACAAATAAATAAGCCCGCACTCTCTCTCAAATAAATAAATAAAATCTTTTAAAAAAAAAAGAAAAATGTTAAATTAAAAGAAAAACTGGATAGTTTAAACTGTGACTCCTCATAACAAGGCACAAATAAAATTCAGTTCCCTCAAATCTTAGAGCAAATCAACTCCCACTCTCCCTTCAGGATGCTTTGTATAACATACAATGCATGTGAATGATACTTTGAGATTGCCAACAACTTACATACTGAACATTAGTAAATTTTAACTAAACATTAGTAAACATTAGCTTTTGTCTTGTTAAATAAAAAAAAATCCATAAAAGTTTTGATATCTTCTCAAACCTTAATATGTCCTCTTGCATATTTCCTAGGGTACATGCCTACTATATGTGAGCCCACTGTTCTACAGTATAGGCATTAGACTCAGATCTGAACAATACTTCCTGGCTATGTATCCTTAAGCAAGTTACTTATCCATGTCTTTGTATAGTTCATCTATAAAATGAGCATAAGAATTGCTATCTCATATAATTGTTTTGATGATTAGATTGATAAGAATAACAGATAGTATTTGTTGAGCACCTACAAAGTGGAAGGCATTATTCAAAGCCCACTGCATGCATTAATTCTTGAGTACAGTGTCTATACATAATGAACACTTGATAAGAAATTAGTTTCCTTCCCCAGGAAAGAGAGAGGCTAATTGTACAAAATCAAGAATATTTTTTAGGGCAAATAGAGTTAGTTGTTTACAATACAATTGAACTCTTCTATAAAATTTCAAGTTTCCTGGAAGCAAAGTTATGTTGTAGCCATCCTTCTATCTTAATAGACTGCAAAATAGAATGCTTTGACTATATTAAGTACTCAATAATTAAATGAATGTTGTTGAATAAATCTACATAGGGTACAACCATAACTTGCTGCTTAATTGTTTGTAAAAATTCAGGCAACTCCAATGCTGACAGGCATGATCAATTAACTGCATATACATTGCAAAACATGCTATTGTTTTTATACATATTCCATTATACCTTTGCAGTAAGGGTAACACTCTCCAGAGCTTTTGAAAATATAATAACCCTTGATTTCTTGTACAGATGTAAAGTGAGGTATTGATAACCCAAAAGTAACTTCTATTCGGATTTTGAAATATTTCAATATGTATACTAGACTATGAATATGCTAATAGTCTATACAAGAAAATGAACTTACAACAAAATAGGCTACTATGAAAAGCTGACTTAGGAAGAAGTTGAATGCAATTCAGTTTCTGTGATCTTACCTTTTTATTTAACTCTTATGTATAACCTACACCACTTTGATTACTCAAACTACATAGAACTTGCCATTTTCTCAAACTCTCCCTAAGGGATAAGAAATGTTTAAATGTTGATTTTCATGGAGATATTTTCTATAAAGCAGGTATTTCTCATTAGTGAATTTGAAATCATGACTGCCTAGGTATTATAAAAAATCAATTAAAAGACATGGAATACACTATTTGCTTCACTAAAATAATTCTCATTTTTTGTAAAATATTTTATTCACTTGTAGAGTGAACTATAAACCATTAATGTTCTTCATGACTTTTTTTTTCCCCCAGATAAGTGGCCTGAGGTAGAGAAAAACCAGCTGGTGATACACTTAATTACATATGAAATCTCACAAAGTTTTCTACCCAACTCATAGTGTTGTTATAGAGAAAAAATAAGCAAATCATTTTGAAATATTTAGAGAAAGTAAAGGAGGGAATAATAAATGTAAGGCATCACTGTATCTTAATGAGAACCTGAAAGATTAGCTTTTCATCTTTTCTTAATTATTCATGAATAGTACACTCCATTTCTAAATGTACAGAAGGCAGAGTGTTTGGGTAGAAGGAACATGGGCTTTAAAGTCAAACAAGCCTGGGTTTGAATCAAGCTTCCACATTCACTAGTTCTGACCTAAAATAATTTATTCATTTTCCTTGAATTTCACTTTCCTCATTGGGAAAAAATGAGCAAAAATATTCAATAAAAAACAGATATAAAGTGTTGGACCTATAGTGAAAATTCATTAAATAATAATTTATTTCTTCCTTTGATTCCTAAACCAGAGATTCTCAATTTTTTTTTCTTTATGGCTTTCTTTTAAGATTATGGACTACTAAACAGCTGAAAACATTTCTTCAAATAAACTACTGAATTTAATTTTCACTAGTACTCTGTGAACTAATTTGACATTATCCTAATTTTGTACAGGAATAAATTCTGCTTCAAAGGCAGTAAATAATTTGTGTAAGATCTTGGATGTAGTAAGTTACAAATTGAAACTTCACCTTCTATTCCATCAAGCCTGGTTACCCAATTACTTGAAAAAAAAAAAAAAATTCCTAGCCAGAACTAACAAAAATAATGTTTTATACTAAGAAAGTTAACTCTAATGATAATAAATATTATTAAACTATTTCCCTAGGCACAAAGTGCAGTAAGGACATAATCACATTATTATCACTAGTGGTTCTAGTGGTACAGCCAAATATTTCTGTAACACTTTTGTTAACACTTTCCTAGAAAAGAGCTTTCTATGAAAAAAAAAAAAAAACAGTGAATTAAGTAATATACACCCATATGAAAACTAATAATAGCTAGTCTCGTTGTTCATGGTGAAGAATGACTTTCAAATAAACTTTAAAGTGTAATTTTATATTTTTCAGTAATACACTAAGTATCCTCAATAATCAATATATTTCTTCCTAAATGATATCGTAAGATGAATAAGTTCTCGGCATAGCATATACAGAATAGTGATTAGAATTAATAATACTGCATTGTATATTTGTAATTCATTAAGAAAGTACATCTAAGTGTTCTTACCACAAAGTAAAAAAGAAAAAGGTTAACTATGTGAGGTGATAGGTGGGTTAATTACCATGACTGTGGTTATCATTTCAGAATATATACATATACTTTAGACAAACCCTTAATTTCATTAAGCCTTTTGTCCTCTTCTTTAAATTGGGGGAAATAAAAGTACCTACAGAACAGGTTTTTGTAATGATTAAATGAAATAATCCAAATACTGGTAATAGGTAATATTTATCAAGCATTTTACCATATAATGAACACCATGTTAAACATTTTATATATATATATTATCTCATTTAATAATTACAAAACTCTATAAGTAAGTACTATTATTATTCCTTTTATTTATTTATTTTTAAAGATTTTATTTATTTATTCAACACAGAGAGAGAGAGCGCAAGTAAGCAGAGCAGCAGGCAGAGGGAGAGCTTAGCAGAGAGCCTGATGTGGGGCTCAATCCCAGGACCCTGGAATCATGACCTGAGCCGAAGGCATCCACTCAACCAACTGAGCCACCCAGGCGCCCCTATTATCCCTTTTATAGATGAAAAAAGTGAGGTTTAAGGTCCCGCAACCAATACACTAAACCAGGATTTAAATCCAGCAGACTAATTCTAAATACATACCCTTCAAGGCTAAATTCAATAAGCTCAATGCCATGCACTTAATAAATCTTGGCTTATGTTTTGTGTTTATTTCTACTTTACTGAAGGTGTCAGTTTCTTATTTAACAGTTCTAAGTTGAATGAAGTAGCTCTCAAATATTGCAATTTCAG